TATTATTATTATTATTATTATTATTCTTGTTGTTGTTGTTATTGTTGTTTTATAATTGTTGTTTATAATTTGTACAATTAACCTCCCTGTGGTTCGACCCCGGTCTTGCCGGGTTATTTATTACTTCGACACTCCTATACTTGGGAGAAGATATCAATCTTTTAGTCGTGTCATCAATGTTGATTTCAACAAGTCATATCTAATTTCTATATTATTCTAATCTCCAAACACCTTAGAATCATGCTAAGGACATTCAAAATCAATTTTGAACATCAAAATCATGTTTTTATCTACTCTAAAATCTCAAACAAATCAAATCAAATCCAATATTTCAATTGTTGTCATGAGACTTATCTTTTCTTTTCTATTTTATTTGTTATGATGAAACTATCATCAATAAAATTCTATTATTAAGAGGAACACATGTAATCCAATATTTCCAATTACATGGTTGAAATGTTGTTTATCAAAGCTTTATATCTCCTTATTTCTCTTTACTCTCTTACATCAAATGATGAATTTTAAGGGAAAAAAAGTCTAAGGACTATTTCATACAAATCTTGAAAGTGAAGGACCATAATAAATATATATCCTTAAAAAATCACTTGATTTATTTAAAAAACAAATTTGTTTAACACCAAAATGTAAAAAAAAATATGTTTTTGGTACTGATAAATATTATAGAACAATATTTCAAGAACGAAGACCATTTGTGTGAAAATAGCAAAGAAAAAGCAAAATAGTATTTTCTTAAAGAAATGGGGTTAGAGTTTGAATTGAAGAAGAAAAAGAAGAAGTGGGGGAGAAGCGAGGACTATTGGGTTTTAAATCCTTTTAAAATGGTTTAAAATGTATTTGTTGGCAATTTCACCTGCAAGTCGAGATGTTAGTAATACCGATGAAATATTTATTTTTTTAATTTTGTCATCGTTTCCATTATAAATTACTGATAAAAAATTTTCATCATAATTTTCATCAATAAACATTAACAGAATATTTTTCATTAGTGTTCCATTATTTTTCCCTAATTTTCTAGTTACAATTGTCCATAAGGACTGATATACCGCTGCTACAACAACTTTTATTTATCAATGTTGATTTCATCCGTTCTTATCCAATTTCAATATTATTTTGATCTTCAAACACCTTAGAATCATGTTAAGGACATTCAAAAACCATTTTGAACATCAAAACAATGTTTTAATATACTCTAAAATCTCAACAACAAAAAAATTAAATCCAACAATCCAATTATTGTTATGGAACTTGTCTTTTGTTTTCTTTTCATGGTGAAACTATCATCGATAATATTCCATTACAAAGAGGAACACATTTACTTTAAGATTTTCAATTGTATAGTTGAAATGTTGTTCATCAAAGCTTTATCTCTCCTTATTTCTTTATCTTCTCCTACATCAAATGATGAATTTTAAGGGGAAAAAATGAAGTCTAGGGATTATTTCATACAACTCTTGAATGCAAAGAACCGGAACAAATATATATTTTAAAAAAATCACTTAATTTTTTTATAAAAAAAAAAAAAACAAAGTAGTTTTACACCAAAATGTAAAACAATGTGATTTTACAACTTATCAATATTATAGAATAATATTTTAAGAACAATGATCATTTGTATGAAAATAGCAAAGAAAAAACAAAACACTATTTTCTTAAAAAAATGGGGTTAGAGTTTGAATTGAAGAAGAAGAAGAAGAAGAAGAAGAAATAAAGGGGAGAAGAGAGGACTATCGGGTTTAAAATCTTTTTAAAATCGCTTAAAATGTTTTTGTTAGCAATTTCATAGGCGAATCGAGATGTCAACAATACCAATGAAATATTTTTTTTAATTATTTTGTCATTTTCATTGTAAATCACTAATAAAAATTTTCCATCATAATTTTTATTAGTAAATATCAATAGAATATTTTCCTTTGATGTTTTGCTGTTTTTCTCTAATTTTCTATTTGTGATTGTCTACAATGATTAATATGTCGCTACCACAATAACTTTCATTGAAAATTGTTTTATTTATCCATTTATATCCAATTTTAATGTTATTTTGATCTTCAAATATTTTAGAATCATGCTAATGACATTCAAAAATCATTTTGAATATCAAAACCATGTTTTAATATACTATAGAATCTTAAAAAAAACTAAATCAAATCCAACAATCCAATTATTGTTATGGGCCTTGTCTTTTCTTCTTTTCTTTTTTCTTTTTTTTTTTGTGGTGAAACTATTATTAAAATAAAATAAAATTTGGAGATTATTTCATATAAAACTTGAATGCGACAGACCAAAATGAATATATATTTTCAAAAAACCACGTAATTTTTTTAAACAAACAAAGTCGTCTAATACCAAAACGTAAAACAATGTGGTTTCACTATTGATAAATAATATAGAACAATATTTCAAGAATAATGCCCATTAATTCGTGTGAAAATGGCGAAGGAACAACAAAACACTACTTTTTATATAGTTTTTTTTATTAATAATAACTAAAAGGTTAGGTGATGTCATGTAATGTGCTTCCATACGAGATCTGGATAAGAATTTTTTAAAAAAAAATTAAGAGTAGCGAGTGAGAGATTTTTTAGTTCATGGACTAATTCTCTATGCCCTAGCTCCACGGACTGTCCACTATATCACCACTGCAACTCACACAACGGAAGTTGGTGGAGGAGACCATTTTCCAAGCCACCACCTAACTATTCGGTCCCTAAATTCTTGTATCCTCATCAATGCAGTGTCAGGTTTCCCAGTAGAGAGGGTGGTTTGTCCATGCCACTTGTCAGCATGATGGATTCCAGCTTTTCCTGTGTCATTTAATTTCCACCGTGATATTTGTTAATTTTGCTGTGAATGTCTGTCCATGAAATACTTTGATGGTTATATAAATTTAAATCATTGAACAACTATCATAGTGTAGTAGCAAGCTCCTGAAACACGCATCAAATTCCTGGACCTTGTAAGATGCCGGCGTCCTTCTATCTCTTCCTCCTAGTCATGATCTTACATGCCACTATAGCATTCTCTAGACATCCTCCGGTGAGAATATCAGAAGCAACCAAATGGTGAGTTCTCGCTAACAGTAAGTGAAAGATTTAAGCCATGTATTCACAAGACATATTCTGTGAGCAACTCGTTTTGTGTTAATTAAACAGGAGCTCAACGAGAAGGCAGCTGGGAAAAAACACATGCAGAACTGGCAACCCTATTGATGATTGTTGGAGATGCGACCCAGATTGGGAAACTAACAGGAAAGTGCTAGCTGATTGCGCATTTGGGTTCGGACGCAATGCTGTGGGGGGGCGAGATGGCAACCTCTACGTAGTAACAGATTCCGACAACGATGACCCCGTAAACCCAATTCGAGGCACACTCCGCTACGGTGTCATCCAAGAAGAACCTCTGTGGATCATCTTTGACAACGACATGGTCATCAACTTGAAGGAACAACTTTTCATGAATTCACACAAGACTATAGATGGTCGGGGGCAAAACATCCAGATAGCGGATGGTCCTTGCGTAACCATTCGAAACGTCAGTAACATTATCATACATAACATCTACATACATGGCTGTGTGCCGGGCGGAGACTTCGTGGTAACAGACCCCACAAATCATCACGGTCTGAGAAGCAAGTCTGATGGGGATGGGATATCGATATTTGCGGCCAGGGATGTATGGATTGATCATTGTACTCTAGCTAACTGCCGTGATGGACTAATAGATGCTGTATTTGGCTCAACATCTATAACAATCTCAAACAACTACATGTTCAATCATAACGAAGTCATGCTTATGGGTCACAGTGATGATTTCCTCGATGACAAGAACATGCAAGTCACAATTGCCTTCAATTTCTTTGGTGAAAATCTGGTTCAAAGAATGCCCAGGTAACTAATTTTATCATTCTATAACAAAACTGCACAGGCAAATGCAAATGCTAATCATGCTTCCTTTGCTTCTCTGCATTCCTAGAATTATCAGTGAGTCGCTAACTAAATGCATCTACAAAGTGTTACAGGTGCAGGCATGGTTATTTTCACATTGTGAATAACATATATACTGGTTGGCAGAATTACGCGATCGGTGGAAGTGCCAGTCCAACAATCAACAGCCAAGGGAATGTTTTTATGGCATTAGACAACAATGACGCAAAGGAGGCAAGTTTTTTCATCTTAAAAGTAACTAAATAATCACTTCCATTCATGCAAGATCTTATGAGCAACAAAAGGAATAGTCTTTTATCAAATTTAACAAAATGAAGGTCATCTTTAGCAACAGATAATTGATCACTTGACAGTTATCTGATTTCCCAGGATAACTTTCTTTTTATCCCTCTAATGGAATGGATCGAGCAGTTCATTCTTCACAAATGGATAGATGAATGAAGTCAAGTTTTAAGAGATAAAAAAAGGCTAGTTTCAAATCATTTACACGCTTCAACTGTCCCAGCTAAATAGCAACTTACCAGGACGTGCTCAAACTTTAACCAGCAGAGGATCAGAACAGACCTTGAATTCATGATTCAGTGGAAACTACCCTTTTTGTTCCTAAAAATTGACTTCACTTTCAGGTGACTCGGCATGAAAGCTTGACTGGATATGAGGAGTGGAAGAGCTGGAACTGGAGATCAGATGGAGACGTGATGCTCAACGGTGCTTTCTTCACGCCTTCTGGCCAGAAAAGTCCTGCAAGCTACATAAAAGCATCAAGCATGGTAGCAATACCAGCTTCATATTTAACAAACAATTCTCCGCAGGCCGGAGCTCTTAAATGTCAAATGGGTTGCCAATGTTGAAGGCGGGCCACCCAACTTTATGCTTCCGTCTTTTTCATTATTTAGTAGCCGAGGCTCAATAAAATTTGCATCACTTTGAAGGATTCTACCACTACAGTAGAATTAGCTGAAACTCAGGAACGCCGTATATTGGTGTCAAAGAGGCACTCAATTGGGATGCAATCATAAATCAGTAAGGATTTTACTTAACTGAAGCTTTGACAATCCCTATAGCGGAGAAATCAAGGGATAAAACACCACTGTTCTTGACAATTTAGTAACAGAATCAAGGGATAAGAATCTGTGCTCATCATCTTCATAACAAAAGGGAACCGGCCAATTCTTCCAGTTTTCAACTCTAAAATCTCACCACTCGGTTTGAAACGTGTAGCAGTCTGTAAGTATTTGCCTCAATCCTGGCTGCAAGAAATGAAGCCATATGAATACAGGAAATAAAAGGGGAGGATGGAACAGAAGCGGCATAATAAGAAAGCTCATTCATGTTCTTAGATGAAAAAAATAATAATAAAATTCAACTGGGAAAGAGATATTTCTCTCCTCTGACAGGATATGGTTGTGGAATTCAGGGTGCAATTCAGAAAGCTTATTGATGTTTTTTTTATTTAGAAAAATAATATAATTTAGTGAGTTGCAGATACGTACATCTCTCTTCAAGTTCAAGACAAGGTGAATGGAACATTTTTTTTTTCATTTAAGAGAAACTTCAGCTTGTTTTCCATAGACACAAGCTTCATAGATTTTGTTTTTAAGAAAAGCAGTTTTGGAAGACATTAACTAGATTTCATTTATTGATTTTTTTTATATAACATCCATGTTGGACTGTACTAATCTCTTATGCCATAAATAAGAATCATTACAAAATATAGACAGCCATGTTTATCTTTCAGTACTCATCAAGATTAATTACGTACACATTTTAATGTCTGTTGTCTTTAATGCATTGCATAGCACAATATGAAGATTCATATAATACTCTATGGTCAGTCTTTGTCACATTAGCTTAAAAATTAAAAGCCATACAACACTGTTCATCTTTTCACTTCTTACTGCAGATGTATTGTTTATAATTTTATTTTATTTTTTAATTTGATCCTTTTTTTAAGCAATTGCATCATCTTTAAACCAAAATTCAAGAATAATTGAATGCAATTTATTAACTAATGATAAAATTTAAATACAGATGATCATAATAAGAAAAGCGTCGGTTTTAAAGTTTGCACAAAATATTTACTTTAGTCCTTTAACTTTACAATCTATATATTACTTGGTCTCTCAATATTTTTTCAATTTAACTTTAATACAAATATTTATTTTTATTATTTTTTAATCCTTGAATTAAGAAAGAAGGGAGATGGGAGTTCCACTTATGTGATTTTTAATCTTGAAATGACCTAAAAACACAAAATCTAAGTTTTGAAAAAACAAATATCTCAAGTTAATTTAAATTTTTAAGTGGTTTTTTTATTAAAGTCATTTACAGATTTATAAGTCAGGCTATTTTCTAGGAGTTTTAAGTTAAAAGTGGTTTTTTAGATTAAACAAATATATAACCTATTTGTTCAGCCATCACAATTGTCAAAATTTGAAGAATCCTAGACAACACATCGTCTAGGATTTTTTTCAAAAGATAATGACCCAGTTCTATTTAAAAATAAAAAGACCCATGTAGGGCTCCTTTCTTTAACGAACCAGATGTTGATCGGCTTTCTAGGCCTAACAGCGTTTGCCTTTAAAAAAAAAAAACAAATCATGCTTTTTTATATATTTTTTTATAATAATTGTTTAGATTATATTTCAATTAATATCCCTTCTCTCTAATTTTTATTTTTTTATATTTAGCATTTTTTTAAATAGTGATTTTTTAAAATATTTTTTATGTATTTAATTTTTGAAAAGGTTGTTCTAATTCATATGTAATTTTTTATGTTATATATAAATAAAATTTATTTTTAAGAATTAAAATTATTTACTTTCTCATAGTATTTCAAATAAATGCAACATTGCGAGATATTTTTTTTCCTTTGATTTTATTCCATCAATTGTATATGTGTGTTTTTTTTCACTATCATTTTATTAAATAAAAAAATAATTTTAGTAAACGTAGTCACTTAACATAATTGGATAAATGATCCAGGTTGTGGGATCAAATATCTTGATCTACATTTATCTCTCAATTTTTTCATATATATATTTATTATCATTAGTAGCTTGTTTTTCATTTATTGACCCAAATGATTCTTTATTTAATTAATTAAATATATTTTTTAGCTTTTTTATTTATACTTAATATTTTTATGTAAAAAACATGTTTAAAAAGGTTGCATGTTCAAAATATCTATTTTTAGATAATATCTTTAATGTGTGTAACCTTGTATAATTTTTTTTGCTTCTTATTTTATTTAATCAATTTCATATATGTCTATTTTGGTCTATATCTAAGTTGTAAGGCTAAATTTCTTGGTTTATATCTTATTCTTAATTTTTTATTTTTATTTTTATTTTTTATATAAAAAACAAGTTTAAAAAACTAGTATATTTTTGTTTTAGGAAAGAAAATCCAACCTGCGATTGAGCGTGGTCTAAATAGTTAGTAGCTTACTCATTCTTAGTAAATTATTTTTCCCTTTATGTTATCATCAGAGGGTATTGAACCAGATTTTGTTTATATAGAAATGAAGTTGTTCTTATCTCCGATCATATGCTTGGAACAACCATTATCTAAGTACTAGGTATTTTTTTTTCTCATCTTTAAATAGATATGCAAACATATATATTCACTTATTGGATTTTGATACCTAAACTCTTTTGGTCTAGTTGGGTTAGACAAAACAATAAATATACTCACAACTAGTACAAACTTGATTGTTTTAGGAAGAATATTATGATTTTTTGGTTTTTAACTCATTAGTTTGTTCAACCAAACTTTTATTTTTTTATCTTTAATAATTTTAGTTCTTGATCTAAAAAAAATAATATTTACTAAGTAGAATAATTTTTAAAATTTTTTTTTTAAATTCCTTCAGTAAACCAACATACAAGTCATATATTTCATCATTTACCTTGTCCTCTTCTTCTTTGCAATTTTTTTAGCTATGAGATATTTGTTTTTATCTTTTTCAAAAATATCTTTTTTTTTATCATAATTATTATTATCATCATCACCACTCCAAGTTGCATCATGACATTATTTTCTATCTTCTTAGAGAATTTTTTATTTTAATGTTTTTTTCTTTTCTAGCACTTAGACACTTAAAAGTATAATGTTCTAGTTTATTGCATTTAAAATAGATTATGGAGTCTTTGTTGAGATCTTTATCAAACATTTTCTTATTAAATCTTTTTTTTTCTTGAGAAATTTTTAAAATTGTTTCATGATTAAATCTATGTATTCATCTTCACTCTTATTTTCACTTTCAAAGTTGGATTTATTTTCACTTTCAAAGTTGGATTTATGACTACTTTCGAGTGTTACTTCAAATTGAATTGAATAAAAAACAATATCACAAGCCACAATCTACTCTCTCTCTTTTTTTGGCATATTTAAAGAAAAAAACCCATATTTTTTGAACTCATCTAAAAAATCATATTTATACACCTCTACTCATATAAAAATAATATTAACTATTTTAATGATCAGAACTTGAGCCTTTCTTTTTCTTTTTTTTGATAATTATTTCTCTATTCTCAACAGCTAGTAACTAAAACATAATTCTCTGTTCTCGACATCTAGTAACCAAAATATAAAATTATTAAATGATAGGAGCATAAAACTTCACAATCAAATTTGATTTTTCCTCATCTTTTGAACAATAAAAATGAAAAACAATTTTAATTTTGATTCTTTTTCATTTGATTTTGTTAATTATAACCTAAAATTTTACTTCATAATATTAGTCTTCAATTTCAATTTAATGTTAGAATATTCTTAAGTACTTTGTATATGTGAGAGCATACAAAGTGAAACAAATCATAATATATAATACTATAGCAATATAACATGCGAGTCTCGTTCATCTCGTTTGATAAGCATAATTGCCTATCTATCAACACTAAACAGATTTATAGCGCCATTTTATATGTTTAGATTACCAACAGTGAGTGATACCTTACTTATTTATTATTATCTCTCATCCATTCCAAATACAATCGTAAAATTGATATTATTATTATTATTATTATTTACTTTAATATAAACATGCATCTGGGTTCTCTTGATCCACCAAACAAACCCCTCCTCCTCCCCTGCTTTGACTCACCCATACATATTTATTATTAAATGGATTGGAAAAAACAAATAGATGGAATGGAAATCTTAAAATATATAACAAACTAACAACAATAATAACAATAATTCTGTGAAAACAGAAAATTAGTGGAGGAATACTCATTTAAATTGCCAAAGCCAGGGCAGCCCCACACACCAACCCGCTCAAAATGACCCCAACCTCATACAAGGACCTTGAACCCGACTCGTCATTAACCGACGGAACCTTTGCAGTTTCTGGTGACATACTCTCTGTAGACGGGCTCGGAGGGCTACTAGTGGAAGGAAAAACCATAGGGGCCTCCGCTGGCGTCGCAGAACTTGATGGAATGCTTGCCGATGCCTCCGGAGTCGCTGCAGTAACCGGACCCTCTGTCGACATTGGCGGAGCCCCAAGTGGTGCCAATGTAGGAGCAGTCACCGGAGTGGAAACCGCTGGTGATGAAGCCGGAGGAGAGCCAGATGGGGCAGCGGCATTTGGCGAGGGCGCTGGAGGGGAGACGGTAGGACTTGGTGGGGAAGTGGATGAAGATGGAGATGTAGCCGGAGATTTTGAAGGGGAGACGGGAATAGTTGGTGGGGAAGTGGATGGGGATGGGGATGTGGCCGGAGATTTTGAAGGGGAGACGGGAATAGTTGGTAGGGAAGCCGATGGGGATGTAGCTGGAGATTTTGAAGGGGAGACGGGAAGAGTTGGTGGGGAAGTGGATGGAGATGTAGCCGGTGATTTTGAAGGGGACGATGGGGGTGAAGTTGTGGACGGAGAAGGAGAAGAACTAGAGGGTGATGTTGGAATTGACGAGGATGTGGGCGATGGCGCAGGCGCATTGTCCCCATTTACTGTAAAATTAGAGTTTGAAATACAGAAAGCAGAAAGAAGAAGAAGAAGAAGAAGAACGCTGTGCATATGCTGCAACATCTTGATTGAACCCTCTGAATGTTAGTCAGTCGCTGCTGTTCTTGTTCTTTGTTTTTGATTATCTGAAGTGAGTGGACATGGCAAGAGTCTCGAGGGAGGTATATAAAACGGTATGTGACTAAACTGAACGTTGTGCTTTTTTGGCTCCTATTGAGGAAAATGGGACCGTTGGATTCGATCATACGACAGGATTCAATGGGAAGCAGTGAAGTAGCCGTTACTGAGGGGGGCGGCTTCTTGTCTTCTTGACAGGACATGACGTAAGACTTATCCCTCCACAAGAAAATAATAGTATATTTAATATTTTTATAAAATATATAAAAGTCATATTCACTCTTATTTTCATGCTCAGCCTCAGCGTGTTTCGAAAAATAATTTGTCTTCACTTTAGGTCACTCCCTACATAATACTTAAATGAGTAAAATAAGTAAAGCATGGCTGTTTAGTAATACTCTTATATAAAAAATAGTAAAATTGTGCTTCTAAAAAAACCCCGTGACACATAGCTATAATTTCTTGTGGGTCCATTAATATAAATTTATATTTTTATTTAATTAAATAATAATATATGTGATCACGGATTAATCTTGCCCGCAGCTATATTATCAAACCACACTAACTAAATATGTGAACAAATAAATAACAGAATAAAATATTATATTGATTTTTTTTTATTTTTTCAAAGTAAAAAAGTTAATGTATAAAATAAAACAAGATTGCAAGAGCGTATAAATATATCTTATAAATATAGAAAATCACATACTTAGAAATCAAAGATGATAAATATAGAGAAAATCAAATATAATTTGAATAAAAAATAAAAAGAAATGGAATAAGAAAAGGAAACGTGACTCTTGAGCTGAAAAAAGGCATGGTGAGTTACAGCCCAACATTGTCAACCTGTAAAGGTAAAAAAGGTGGCTACAATCCGGTCAAAGGGGCATCATTTCGTTAAAAAAATAATAATAATACAATTTCGAGTTAATTTTTAATATATACAACATAATGAAATTGTTTTTATTTAACGACAAGAAGGAGGAGGTGAAGTGAAAAGGGAACGTAGTAAAATGAATGGGCAAGTGAGCATGAGCAATCCTTTTCTTCAGGCCAACACGTTTTTATCCCTAAAACTCGACCGATCTACTCTTCTTCTACTTCAGCCAGTCCTCCTCTCTCATCAACTACCTCTACTTATATAGCAAGTAGTTGCTTGGCCACACCAACCCTTTTTCACACCGACAAACCATGATCAATAACAACCACACACCAACATCACGTCATAGCCACCATTAACTAAATTGACCACAACAGCACCCATCCATTGAGCCGACCCTCGTTACGACCCAGTAACTTGAATCACTAACCCTTAGTACCTTTCATTTTAGAGCCACACTAGTCATCACTCTTATCCTTGTGAATCATATTGATATTATATTTTTAAATAAAAAATATTTAAAAAAATATTATTATTATATTATTAAACATCTTTTTAGTAGTAGGTCACTAATAGTAGCCCTCGGTCACTACCACAACTCACACTAAATGAACCTTTTTTCTCCACCTTGACTAGCAAAATCAACTTAAACAAACCCAAACATAGTTGTCATCAATTTAATATATGAGAAAACACCATCTTTGTGACCATCACAACTGACAGCAACCCTAATAACACTAGTAACCAACAACACAACTACCATTACTTATATTCATATTGACCACCACAACACATTAACAACCATATATAAATAGCGGCAGCATCAAAGAAGTAACAAGAGAAAAATTTCAAACAAATAGATCTCAATCTTCTTTGTTGGGTGGTAATGAGAAACATTGTTTTATCAACTAGTAAAAGATTCAATCAATATTGATTTCTAGTTTGACAAGTTTTAAAAAGCTGGTGAGTGATCCAAAACACCAATAATTGCAATAGAATGTGAGCCTACATGTTACCAATGTTCCAGCCTTGTTCTTATGGCTTATTATCCTCTTAGTTGTTTTTATTGTAAGAAAATACAATATAGAACATAAAAAAAATAAAACTTAAGGCGTGTATAAATATTGTTTTTAATAATATTTTCTCAACACAAGGCTATCCTCCAGGATTCAACATGTTTCTTCTCTAAAACGAGAGTCATAAAAACAGCTAGATCAAAAGCAAAAGAAAATACCAAGTTTTGCAAACACAAGAAAATACAATAGTGTTTAACACACTTTGACTATAAAAGTACATTGTATATATAGGTTGCTAGAATGTAACATTTAGGCAATAGACAATTAGAGAATTAAAAGTTGTTACAACAATTTAAAAAAATAAAAGAGTTGTTAGAAAATTAAAGAGTTGTAACTATTAAAAAGGTTTTAAAATAAAATAATTATTAAAATTTTGTGACTTTTAAAAAATTCATTCCAAATGTTTAAAAAATATGGTTTTAGTTTAAGGGCCTATGATCATTTTCTTGTTGGTTATTATTTCATATCAAAGTTTACTATATAAACACTAGATTAAGGTCTTATTTTTATATCGTGGGATAAAAAGCCATATATATATTTTATGTTTACAAGAAATAAGTTATGTTTTTTCAATGTAGGATAAAAATCTTTTGAAATAGTTTTCATTATTTACAATAGTTTTTATGTTATTATTTTGGATTATTTTATTACTTATATATTTGAAGTGTTGGCTCATGCTATTAAGTAATACCCTAGGAGTCCGATACCACTAAGAAATAACTAAGAGTTCTTTTATATATTAACACAATAAGAAAAAGAAATTGGTACAATGTCACAGCACATAAAATATTTAGAAAAATAATATGGTTTAAATAATTGTAGATAATATTTGTGATTCGCAAGTCATATATGTCACTAGCAACTCTCTAAAATTATAAAATAACCCAGCATAAATTACAATAAATAGATAGAAGAGATTAAAAAAACAAAAGGAAAAAAAAAGACCTTAAAGGCATACCAAAACTCCAATGATGACACTACTAGTACTGTAAAAAAGATCTTTATAAGATGAATCTAATGACAATAAAAAAGATCATCAGCGGTGATCGAAGTCAATCATACAAGTAGTCTAAAGGTGATGGATGAATTAGTTCCTTTAAGGTGGCTCGTGTGCCCACTCTGTCACCAATTAATGATCTTTCTTAGTGTTATTGGATTTATCTCGTCAAGATTTTTTTTTTATGATACCCATAATGTTATCATCAAAGTTTTGATATGTCTTCAAGATTTTTTTTTCTTTTTTCTCTCTCATCTCTTACAAATTACAATGAGGATAAGAGAGAGAGAAAAGATCTTGGAGACAACCAAAACATCAATGATGACATCATCAATATTGTTGAAAAGATCTCAAAGATATGAAAAAATATCATCAACGATAATTAAGGTCGATTACATGAGCCACTCAAAAACAAGTTAGTAACTTGCCATACTTGGATGGCTTGTGTAATCCACTTTGGTGACTGTTGGTAACCTTATTTGATGATATTAGATGCTTTTTATCATAATTTTTTTAATAATATCAGTGATATCATTGTTAGAGTTTAAGTGTGATTTTAAGAAGGAATAGATTTATACACATATCCAAATACAAATTCCCAATGATTTCTCAACTTGTTGGCACTTCTTTTCTCAAATGATAGTTTTTAAGCTCTTAGACAAAACACAATGCAATAGTGTAAGTTTTTATTCTACCAAATATTCCTCGAAATTCATGATGTCAAATGAGTATATATACATGATAAAAGCAACTCAACCTCAATGCCTTCTTTTTCTTTTTTCTTTTTTTTGAAAAAAAAAAAGTTCTTAAAGCAATACCATTTATGCAGACACTGGCCTTGTATATCAAAATAATATCAAGAAACATGATCATATCTTTTCTCTCAAGGCTACAAAATAAAAATAGATTGATGATAATGATAATGATGATGTGTGCATCTATATCTTATTAATAATAATGAAAAATGATGTGATTGTGTTATTTAAAGATTTTTTGTTATTTTATAGAATATCATGAATATTATTAAAGTATCTTATGTAGTTTTAATGTGTTAATATTAAAAAAATATTTTTAAAAAATAATTATTATCTCATAACTAATATAATAGTTTTATGGCAAGAAATTAGTTGTTGCTATCACGCACGAGAACACCGAGAAATTAAAAAAAAAATTTACACGAGCGTTACTAATTAGAAGAAATCTAAAACAAATAAATAAATAAAAGGCTCCCTCCCAATGAGTGGAAAGTTACTGGGCCTACACCCAAATTTATTGCTGTGCAATAATACATAATCAAAATAGTGTAATTAGCTATAAGTGATATTGCTGTAATACATCATCAACAATAAAATTATCGGGGCCTACACCCAAATTTATCAGGCCCACCATTCACAGCTGTTTTATATGAAATTCATCAGAACCATACACGTATACATGATTACAACAATTGATTCATCGTCTTTGATCATCATCATCAGCTTCATCATCATCGTGAATAATCAATTGGGCAGGAGCCAACCTCAAAGTCCATGATTGCTAGGCCCATCAGTAAATCAACCACTATCTTAGCCTGCCCAAGCTATCTCCAGGCCCACCACCACCCATCTGATTAAAAAACCCAGCACCAGAGCCGTACACGTACTCACCAAACCCCTCCGCTCCAGGCCCACTCCCATTAGCAGGAGCGTCTCTGTCACGCGCCGCGGTATTTTTCTCCCCCTCCATCTCTCTAAACCTCTGCAAATAAACCTTGAGCGGCTCCACGTATTCCTCAAAGCCCCAGTTTGTCATGACCCACAAGAGATCATCACCGTTGATAGTCTTTCTCTTCTCTCTCTGGCACTTGTCAGAGGCCTCTCCTGTGATGAAGCTGATGAACTCGGACACGCATTCTTGTACTGTCTCTTTGGCGTCTTTGGAGATCTTAGCGTTTGCTGGTAGTGCCTTCTTCATGATCCTACTGACGTTGGCCACAGGCAAGAAACGGTCCATCTCTCTTGGGAATAACACCTCGTTGGTGCTTGTGGGGTTTTGTCCTCCGGAGTCGTTGTCTGAGTCCGCCATGATCAACTCAAGATTAGCTAATAATCACTTCGCTAGCTAGGGATAAAGGCTACGTTCTCTATGTATTTTTTTCTTCTTTTTTTTAACAAGTATTTAAGCTGATGGAGAGAGTGGCTGTGACCATAAAGTAGCTAGGTAGAGAAGTTAACTAGAAATCAGAATTGATGGAGGAGAGATTGGAGATTGGGTGCATGGGGAAGTTTGGATGAACAAAAACACTACTCAATGATCAAGAACAGAGAGTATTTAAGTGCAGAAATCGAAAAAATAACAGGGAATTGAGTGTTTGATGAAGACAAATCATGCAATATTATTATTATTATTATTAAAGAACTCAGTTCCAAACTAAGAGCTAGAGAGTAGAGAAGATGAATGCAAGACAAAAAAAAAAAAAAAAAAAAAACCACAAAATGAGGGTGTGGAAATAAGCTAGGAGAGAAGAAGGGTAAAAATACTTGGATGCTTCGCCTATTTGAAGGAATTTTTGGGAGTGAATGAGTTGGGTCCGTTGGATGGAATTCAGGGGTTAAATAACGTCAATCGTTGGTGACACGTGGGCGGCTCTAGACCGCTTTTCTCGATAAGTGCTGATGGAATCCGGGCCACGCCATTGGTTGGGAGCAAAACGTTTTCCACCGTTGATTTCGTATCTCGCAAGTGGCTGTCTCTGGCATGGATTCTCTTTCAACTATCTTAATGGGAAAGTAATTTAATAAAAACAAATTCATAAAATTACTTTTGGTTATTATTCTAATATATTAAAAAAATAAAAATATATTCTATTTGATTTTATTTGAGTTTCTGTTCTGTGTTTTTTATCCCACCCGTAAATCTCAAAGAAGGATCTTCTAAGAAAAAGGAACTCAACACCATTCAAGTTCAAAATAAAGCCAAAGCTAAAAGGTTAATTTTTAAATAGCTAGCTCAAGAAATATTAGCAAAATATGGGTTAGAGAATGTGTAAAATTATTCTACAAAACTAAAAAAAATAATGTTTTATAGTAGCAATTGCAATATTATTCTATATTTTATTGTGTTAAAAATTATTTTAAAATCTTATATGTTTTTATATATTTATTTTTTATTTAAAAAATTATTACAAGTTGAATCAACTTTTTAATACTTTGTTCTTATTAGTACATATAATTCTTGATATATTTAATTAAAAATATATATAATTTTTTTATTTATAATTAATTTTTTTTTATTTTTTTAGGAGAATTTATCCAATACATAATCATATTTATATTAGTTATTCAAGAAAATATTTAATAAATTAATATTTTGAAGGAGTTGCTTTTGTTCAAGAACTTGTAATGATTTTCTTATAAATAATAGTAATATAATAATTCAAATAAGTGATGGTGCACGTTACATGCCTTCTCCTGCATGAAACTTGAGACTTTATAAAGTAACCTGCCGTCTAGGCAACTAAGAAGCATAGGATAGTTACAGGATGTGTCATAGTTTGAATTTTAAATAAATGCTCAGATTTATTTAAGGGTAGTTGGAAATACGGTAGAGTTATTTTTTAAACTTGTTTTATTTAAAAATATATTAAAAAAATATTATTTTATTTAAAAAACTTAATTTTAATATCAGCATATCAAAACAATAAAAAATATAAAAAATTTAATTTAAAAAAATTCAAATATATTATTTTTATTTTTTTTATACTACATGATTAGATTAATTAGTTTTGTAAGCTGTAGGGGCTATTCAGTCATTTAAACACATCCCTCTCCCTAATTTAAAACACTATAATTTTTTATATTTTCTTACATTTTTTTTTTCACTCTTTTGCATATGGTTCATATAATTAATATAGCTATGATTATCAAGATTTACATAGAATTACTTCAACATAAAACATTTTTATTTAACAAACATTCAAATTTATTCATTTATGGATGAATTACTTCAACATAAAACATTTTTATTTAACAAACATTCAAATTTATTCATTTATGGATGATTACTCAGCAAACATTGATTATTAAAAATATAGTCCGTAGTTCAAATCAAAGCACTATTAGAAGGTAAACACACGTGCCTTTTATATGAATTTACAGGTCATTGGATCATTTATTTTTTAATAAATAATATTATTTTATTTCTTAAAAAAAACATTCCCGGTATTGATTTGGTCAAGATCTGGTCAACCCGTCAAGTAACTTAGATTAAAAATTAACCCAAGTTAAGATTAATAACTTAGATTTAGCGATCCCACTCTTTGAATATGATGTGTGGATGACACATTAATGCAATAACTATAAAAAGTCAAATGTTGACTTAGCTATGTTGACGTAAAGAGTGATGGATTTACAGAAAGATCACTAGATTAGTAGTAAGGGTAATGATATTTAGGTAATTATATAGAAAATAAATCACAACAAATTATAAAATTTAATTTCTAAAATGAAATTAAAAGATAAAATTATAGAAATAAACATAGATTTAGAAAAGCAAAAAACCCAAACAACAAAACTGGAAAACTGTATTGTGAGGGGATGCACAGCATCATCCCTTCTAGTTTTCTGTTAATTTGAAAATACGAGGAGGAGAAAGAAACGATCGAAAAACAACCAGTTGCAGTCATATAGTAAACTCAGTACAAGGGCAAATAGGTTTTGACTTACCATTCCATTGACAGAATTTGCATGCCACAGACGAAGCACGATCAACGGCCATGGATTGGTAACTCCAACAAGTCTCCAGGCCGCAGAAACCGACCATCAAACAGAAAATTCCCTCCTTCCTCAGCATCAAAAGGCAAAATCATAAGCTAGCTAACTGTTCCGGTAAGATTTGTGAAATACACGATGCTTAATAAAGGCATCTGGCATGGTTTTTAAGCACCATCCTTGGGTTCCATTTCCTAGCATCATGACCAAGTGAACAAATTCACTTCCAGCATCTCCTCTTTTCAAATTACAGCACCTTAATTTCTAATTGAAAAGTTCACGAGAACCCTTGTTCAACAAGATTTAAGGAGCAGCTGTCAAGCATATTTGTGGATGCTTCTCTCAAAGAATCAGGCTCTGCAGACAAGCTTGGCAATCAGTAATGATGCGAATGCCAAGAAAGGAATGGTAACAAAACAGATCTGTCAGCTCGATTCAGTTCAATATATGGAACACATCAAAACACTATATATATATATATATATATATAACACAAGGGCCCCAGAGGTTAAAAAACAAAGGAAGAGAAGCTAATCAGCCAAGCATAAAACAAATGGATTGAAGATTATTCAGTTAGAAATAATATCCTGTCACAACTGACCTCACATAATTTAGGTGTAATATCAAGTACAAAGGTAAGTTAATTTTAAGGATGAGGAAAAACTACAATTTAAAGTTAATGTGTACATGGGAAGCCCAAGTCACACCAAAGCATGACTTGTCTCACCTTCTCTAGTTTCTAGTAAATGCTTGTCTTCTTGCCAGCAAATTGAACACTAACAATGAACTACAGCTGGATATCCTAACAGAACAAACAGTGCATTTACGTTGGAGTTCGAGTGGAAATAAAAACATAAAAGACAAGGCTACACTTTTTCCAGCCAGTCATGTTACATGTTTCAGGATTCAACCTCTTGACCCGTAGACTGGGTTTCATCTTTCTCAGCATCACCTTCTCCATCTTCCTCATCAGCATCATCCGCTAGTTTGGTGAGCTCATCTTGGATAATAAGCTTTATAGATGATTTTCTTGGTGTGAGATCAGTAGCAAATCGCCGAGCTGCAAACCGTCCAGATTACTTTCAGGTACCACGAATAAAATACAATATACAAACATAATCTCTCGAAATTTAAAAAAAAAATCAAAATTTAAGACAGATGTTGCTATTTCATTTGAAGGTCTGTCCATCTTAAGAAATCTCATAATTAAGGCAAAAACCTTGACTGACATACAGTCAATCAAGATGCAGATCTTTACTACATATGGACCATAACAACCACTCTGCTTGTAGAGAATTGAGGTACAATTGTATATTATCCAGTCATTTTGTCGATCAATTTTAGGTTGAAGTAGGCATGGTTGATCACAACTAGAGAATCAGGAGTATGGTCATCTTGTTTATTTACTTGAAACATAGATGGCCTGCACTTTACAGGCCATGCCAGTTTGTCACATGAATGTTTGTCAAGGTATTTTCCCAGATAAGAACACAATTTTCTCTAACCAACTATGGTAAAAAATACATACCAAGTAGCTTTAGAATGTCGGTGAAAGTAGCCTGCAAATAACAAATTAAAGATTAGTAAAGAACAAATTATTAGATACTAAAATAAAGAGATGAAGAAAATGACATTATAATTCAATCAGATTCCTGTGAAGAAAATGATAGTCCCAAGTTTGATCGCTAAGAACAAATACAATAGCTAGATTCTTTCTTTTAAACAATTTAGCAATTTTTCAAAGCAACAGAACATTATCAGTCACTGCTCCATTTTACCAGCCTTAATTCATCTAAAATGATTTGCAGATTATTGAAGTGCCAAAGATATAAAATTACAGGAAAAAAATTGTACAATTTCAAGAGGCTGCAAACACATGGAACTTGAATATGTAATTGATGATGCTAAAAAAAAGCAGAATGGGAAACACAGACATAATATATCATTTCATCATCAGAAGAAATGATCAAATAATTCCATTCTAAGGACCTTGGGGGTAATTTAGGAGCTGCTTACAACACCTTTTTTTAAGTGATTATGTAAAAGTAGGGCCATAAAATTATCATGGCAATCTAGGGTCTCAAAATTGTTTTTTTCACTTGGATTGTTTTAGGTCTGAATGATCAGGATGGTAAAACTGATCATGAAAATGTACGAGTGAAAATGCAAGAGTTCACCTACTACATAAAGGCCTAATAATAATAAATGCAAAAATAAACACAAAAGCTCTCAACAAATTTTAACTACATGGTTACTCCTAAAAGGCCAACGAAATGCTTAATACTTGGTTAAATCCAAAGTTCATACAGGCTAATAATTTTTTGATGAACATAGAATCTGTCCTGAAAAGATAGAACCGGCAAAGTTCGACGCGAATAAGTGATTAACTCATGCATCATGTTTCATTCAATAAATAATTAACAGCAGCACTTACATGACCCAGGGAGAAAAAATAGTAAGTATTTTACAAAGTCGAGATTTTACCATAAACAACATACTCATTAAACCCAAAGAAAAAAAATAGAAGATTATATGTATTTCTTAAGTTAAGCATAGGAGCAGAAGATTAGTACCCTTTCCTTTCATATATATCTTAAGCATAGGAGCATGAGTGTCAAATATAAGGATGACAATAACAGTCTTGCCTGAGAAAAAAGGTTGCCATCCATATGGGATTATATATGTGGCAATTAAAACAGTGCAGAGTAGG